AATATTCAACTGGTTGATCACGAAAAAATATACTGTACCGAAAATATATTGAAATCCGATTGCTCAAGGAAAAATTCATTAAATTGGTCGTAAATGAAATAGCTAAAGAACTCGGTTTCAATGTTTTAAGACCCCCTCTTTATTACTGCGAATAAAAGGCCCAAGTAAAAGACGATGTATTACGCGTAAAAATAACCACAATTAAATTGACAGATTGACAGACGTAAATATACTTTTAAACAGACGAAGTAAGTGCTGTTCTGCTGTTACAGCTGCTGATTGGTCAACATGTATTGGCCTTGTTATAAAAGAAGAAGAGAGTTGGGACTTAGATCCAAGAGTATAAATATAGGGGTAATATATGGCTACTGGCAAATTAACTCTTAAAAAAATGTTTACGCAACACGGTAATACCCCAGAGGTGGAGTAGGAATGTATCAAGAATTACTGACCTCATCTCAATTGAAAAACTGGAAAATAATTTCTATGTTAAATCAAAATGCATATTTGTCGTAACACATTAAAATTGTCCGCCACTGGAAACCTTTCTTCCTGTCCCGTAAGTTCCGAAAATCTCTAAAAATTTTGGAGCGATGACATATGTCAGAAGCTATTTTATTTTCCTACATTTTTCCCACTGGTTTTTATTTTATTAACGTGTATAATAGGCCAAAAAAGATACAAACTGAATATTTTGATTAAAAATGTTTTTTTTTGTTTGAACTTTAACAACCCTGTATCTCGGAAACGTAGCTTTTTTGGACATATGTCTATTAAGACCCTCATCGTTGCGACGCCATAATTTAAACTTTGTGGGAGACGTTACGGGGTTTATCCGTTTATACGATAAGTGTGCCGTGCCCTGGAACCCTATTCAGTAACAGTGAGAGTAGTCGTGTAGGAGTACGCTCTTAAAATTGGGCGTTACTGCGCATGTTACTCGCCTAAAATTATAAAATCCGTGTTCACGAAGGGTAAGTCATGTGAGCAGTGATGCCACTTCTACTGATTTAGCAGTTCATCTACCCAAAAGACCTTATATATTTTCAGCATAATTTGTGAAAAACGAATGACCACAATTTTAGCAGCCACAATAAATGTATATTTTTATTCTTCTGTGTTCTTTATTTTTAAGTAGATATTTATCTTTATGACGATTTAATTCGAAATACGTGACCCAAATATAACGGTTGGATGAATTTAGCAACTAAAACGTAATAAAATGAAACAAAGTATAAAATGCTGTTATCAGCCGCCATATTTGACAAAATTTTATATCATCTCGAAAAACTAAAGAATTCTTCTGGTTGTTTTTGTTAATTATTTTTTATTTTAATAAAGAGTTTTATTCTTCTTTTTTTTTATTTCTTAACAATCGACTATTAGTCCCCAAAAAAACGTTTCTAGTACGGTTTACTAACAACATACTTTAACCTTAATTCTATCGATTTCTAGTTAATTTTGACCAAGTTATCTACAGAAAACAAAATTTTTGGTAGAGGCAGCTCTGTGAGTAGGAGAGTGATTGAGCAGTCGTGTAGAAGTACTATCACGAGTTAGTGAATAAGTTCCTGTATAAGGTCAGAAAACACTGTCCCAAAAACATACCGACCAATTAGTTTTAACATCGTTTTCCATGAAGACATTGGAAAGGCTATGCGAAAGGTACATATGGGATGCGGTGATTACAATTACAACACCACTACACCCAAACCAACATGCATACACCCCAGGCAGATCTACTGATTCAGCCCTTTATCTAGTTGCTGGCCGGATAGAAAGAGCCCTGGACAATAAGAAGTCCGCCTTCGGTGTTTTCATAGACATAGAAGGTGCTTTTGATAAAACCACATTCCCAAAGATAATACACTCACTAACCAACAGGAATGTTCCACAAATGGTTAGTGGGTGGATACATAACATGTTCTCAAGGCGAGCAGTAAACAAAAGTGTAGAAGATCTGAATATAAGAGGTTTGGTTGCGAGGGGATGTCCACAGGGAGGGTTACTATCACCTCTACTGTGGAATATGGTCCTGGACACCCTTATAAGCCGCCTCAATAATGACAGTCACTACCCAATAGCATATGCAGATGACCTGGTCATCTACAAACAGGGAATTTTGAGAACATACTCTGTGAAAGAATGCAAGTAGCTCTAAAAATTATCGAATAGTGGTGACCATTCACTGTCTATCAATCCTAAGAAGACAGAAATTGTCCTTTTCACAAGAAAAAGGATGAAAATGGAATTAAAACCTCCAGAACTCCTAAACACAAAACTAAAATTTGCAACAGAGGTGAAGTACCTAGGTCTCACCATTGACAGCAAGTTAACATGGAACTCGCATTTAGAAAACAGAATTAAAAGAGCATGCATTGCTTATGAACAATGCCGCCGAACCGTGGGATGCACCTGGGATTTCTCCCCCAGAGTCGTCGCATAGACTTACTCGGCTATCATAAGACCTACGCTAACATACGGTGCAGTTGTTTGGGTATCGACAACCCAAAAATTAACAGCTATCCGTAAACTAGAACAAATTCAAAGAACAGCATGTCTCAACATAACAGAAGCCATGAAAACAATACTGATCAAAGCCATGAAAATCATTCTTAGTCTCACTCCCCTTGATATTTACATCAAGGAGGTTGCTCTGACGACAATGACATGCATCCGCACGGTTGGAATAGAACCTGATGTAGGATATGGTGAGGCGGGACGTTGCTTTTGGCAGGAGGCGCTCGAGACGCTGCCACTGCTTCAAGTGAAGATGGACTCCATCTCACCGAGATATATTTTCTATATGCCATATAAACTGTTATAATAGAACAAATAGAAGAGCCGTAAGTGGCAGGTACGATTCATATCTACATCGACGGTTCTAAAACAAAACAAGACCCAGGATGTAGAATATACTCCAGATTCTTGAATCTAAACATAAAATGAGCTGTGAGCAATAGTGCAAGAGTAGTTCAAACAGAGCTAACGGTGATTCTCATAGCAGCAAAAGAAATAACTAAAAACAATATTACTGGAAGGAATATGCTCATCTAAACAGATAGCAGACAAGCACTACTCACCCTGAACAGACCCCGAATTTACTCAGGGTTAGTACTACAATGTCACGAAGCTTTGACCGAAGTATCCATCAACAATATGGTCACCTTAAGATGGATCAAAGGTCACGCCACATTGAAAGGAAACCGTCTTGCTGATTCACTAGCCAAGAAAGCAGCCAACCAAATACTTTTTGGACCTGATCTTCTATTGGCCTGACAAAATCGGTAGTGACAGATCTAATCAAAGAACATTCCCTTGTGAAATTCAAGCATAGATGGGATGAAACAAGAAACTACAGAGTTGCCAGGGAACTCTTGAGTTATCCTGACAACACTGCAGCAAACAAATACTTGACTATGACTAGATAGAATCTGCGCCTAGTCACATGCACTCTGACTGGTCATTGCCAAGTGCGAAAGCATCTCCATATCATGGGACTGTCAGAATCCGCACTCTGCAGAGGGCGCGAATAAGAACAAGACCATCGAGCATATCCTTTACGATTGCTCGACGCTCTGATTTATTGGAAGATTTGTGTTCGGCGAGTATCGGCCAACACCGGCCGATATAAGAGAAGCACCTCATGGCGACGTTGTCAACTAAATTAAAGGAGGTGCCTATCATCTCAGGAGGATGCACAATGGGCCTAATGAGGCATAAGTGTCGTGGGGTAACCCACCCTCCACACGTTACAGATACAGAAGGTCAGAATACTAGACGTACTGACGCGTAGAAAAGTTTTGTTTTGTCGGTATATTTAAATAATAATTTTGGCAACACCGTTTTCGATTCATTGCTGTTAGTCCTAATGTAAATAGTTACATTTATGTATGTGACAACTTATTTTTCTGGCGCTACATCTATCTACCCTAGCTCAGTGTATGGAGTGATCCACAATTTTTTTCCTAAAAAAGGCATTGGAAAACACACCTGCAGGAACAGCAGTTGGAAAGGCTGGACAAAACAGATAGAGCTATCACCTTGACTCAAGTGGGATTGTAATCAGGAAAATCCTGATAATAACTGACATTTACGTAATTTTAAAATCTTTTTTAGAGCCTCTTTTTGAGTAAATTGTGAATTGTAATCACAAGCAATCTATTTACATTGACTCTAATTTGGCAATGATGTGGATAAAACGTAAATGCTTTCAATTCGCCATTTCTAAACAAAGTTAGTCTAGTATACAGGGTGTCCCGAAATTAGACGGTCATATTTTAACAGCATAATCTACATCCTAAAATAAGAGTAAAAGTTCATATAAACATAAGTCCGAAAACGTTTCTTTTCCGAGATACAGGGTGTTAAAAGTGAAGTCCTGATGACACTCTTTTGTAAATATTTTCTAAACGTTTAAAGATAACTAAGTAAAATTTGGTACAAATGCTTACCTTTTTACGCTCTATTTAATGGACTAAGGCTCAGTTTTTGATCATCTTCATAGGTGGGTAAATTAGGGAGGGCTAAGGGTAAATTTGCCCTAAGTTTTTTTTGTTGATAGTTTTTAACATTTTTGACTATAAAATTTGGAAAACCAACATTTTCTTTATAATAAAGCTACTTTTGATGCATCTCGCTAGGACGCACCATTTTCAAAAAAAAAGCATTTGAAAATTTCATGATAAGTTGATGTTATCTTATTCGAAAGTGTAAACAATAATTGGTAGGCCTGTGAAATCAGAAATTTTATATTTTTTTTTTACTTTGGAAAACCGGTGACTAAAGAAATTTTAGAAAATATTTACAAAAATATGCCATCAGGACTTCACTTGTAACACCCTGTATCTCGAAAACGAAACGTTTTCGGACCTATGTTTTGTATGAACTTTTATTCCTATTTTAGGATGTAGATTACGCTGTTAAATATGACCGTCTAATTTCGGGACACCCTGTATAGTTGTTCGTCGTCGATTTACTTACGAAATAAAACCAATTTCTGAAAGACACAAAATTATATTAGTTTTATAGCATTTCTACATGTTTTTCAAACACGCTATATAGAGAAGTGTAGGTTTAAAAAGTGGTAAAGACTATTGAATCAACATTAGAGCAAATAGATAATACTGCAATTTGTACTTTGATTTATACAACGTGATTAAAAAATGATAAATAAATAACTAAACAAAAAAAAATAAAGCTAATTCATTTTGAAATGCAATGACCATAATATTTTTTTTTTTGTAAATAGTCACTCGTTTAGGATCTGAAAGGGGAAAAAGTTAAAAAACAGTTCTTCATATAAAAGTTAAGGTTATTCCCTAATTTTTTAATCACGCTGTATTATGAATTTAATTTAAAACAGGCTGTTTATTTTTCTCATATAGTGACAGACGTGTAAAATTTCATCTACAAAAAATACAAAAAAATAAACAAAATAATTACAAATTCGCTTAGGATACATGACCGCCTTCAAACCCTATAATTATACTTAAAACTGTCCCCTCTAACATTGACGAAGGACTTGATCCCTCCGTCCAGACCATCAACGTCTGAAGACGAAATTTCATTTTATTTAGTCCTTTCTTCGGCTTCTTCCGCTAAAGCCTTCTTATACTCTTCTATTTGTCCAACGGTCTCTGGTCTTTGGTCAAAGTTGTTCGGAGTAAACAAAGGGTACTGAGGTGGGCCTAAAAAAATAAAGAAACGTTACATATGCCGTTCTGTCACTTTTTACATTCAAGGTGGCTATGGAAATTTTACATATTTCTCTGTTGCATATTATCTAGTAATAAATACTTAAATATCTGCGATTAGGACGACGAACCTTAATTAGGGGCCATCCATAAATTACGTCACACGAATTTTATGATTTTTTGACCCCTCCCCCGTCCTAGTCACAGCTGGTCACATTTGTGAGATTCCCCTTCCCTAGTGTGACGTCATATATTTTGCAATTTTACATCTAGAAATTATTAAATTAAAACAGCAGTTCCACTACGAATTGCTACGTATGTGCCCAGAGTGTATCATAGCTTCAGATTTCCCTTCGCCATCTTTCTTTATTACAATACCTGCATAAACAGAAGAAATAAGTTTATGTTTTTCCGCGACCACGAAATCATGATCCGGTAATTTTACACGATAATCAAGGTAAAAAATTGAAGCTAAAGATTCAAGATTTCTTATTGTAGCAGTACAGAATGTGCCATCTTTATGTTTCAAATGTAACGTAGAATCTGGTTTGCATAGTTTAACAGGAACATTTACGACATGTCTCTTTCCTTCATCTGTATTGACTCGTATGGGAAGAAATCTGAAATATAACCCTGATCGACTGATACTATATCCCTGTTTACAAAATTCGGCTTGTAAATCGTCCAATGTTTTGCAGACCTTATAGTTTCAATGCGAAGTCGTTCATCAGCTGCGCCACCAAACACTGCAATATCCTTTATAACTTCAAGTATACCGGATTGGTTTTCTTTTACTCTACGCCGACCAACAGTATCTCGAAGTTTTAGAGCTGATGCTAAGTCGGTATTATTTTTACAAAGTTTTTTAAACATGTGACGTCACGAAATGTAAGACCCCTCCCACCCCTTGTCACACAATGTCACACCCGAGAATAACGATCAAGGAGAAGCGAGAGCTTGGTGTTTTTAGTGTACCGTTTTGTAACGCGCATGTGCGAAAATAAGTTGTGTATCACTCAAAATGATGTTATCTGTCAAAGTCAGTCCAAGTTGTGTTTAGTACGTGAGCAATGTTAAGTGATATTTTTTGGTGTTTGTTTTGTGTAGTAATAAGATGAATATTTTTACACACTTAGGTATTCTAATGCAGATATAAAATGTGCCAAAAAAGTTACTAGGAAACATGCATATTAAGTATAATGATTTAATCATTTTTGACATTTTATTTTTCATATGTAGGTATTGTATTTTGTGAAATATATGTTTTCTTCTTTTAAATAAATTTAATAAACAATGAACTGGAGATTTTGTTTATTTTATTTTGAAATTATATTTAAAAAAATATAATAAATCCGCGTGTTTCAATTAGGATTGGTCAAAATGGGCGAAATCCCTTTATTATGGCTAAATTGTAAGGTACAATTATGTCAATATAAAGATGTTTTGCCAATTCATATTTACATTTATTGAATGAATCATACTGGAGTTGATTTTGGAAATATTGGTGCATACTTAAATAAGTACTATTTCAAAATTCGTCTATGCCCAGATAGCACTCATAGTCCAATGTACGTCCACTTTAGATCTATTTGAGGGTCAGGACGTCCATATCCGGGCATCCAGTGTACGTCCGTTTATGCTAATTAAATTGACAGTTGAATATTGATACCCAGAAAACGTCTGTTTTTGAACTTAATTTTAAGTTTAGTAGTATTTTGACGTCCAGTGGACATCCATCTTAGGTCATTATTTATTAAGCCTACCAGATAATACTCATCTATAATATATACTTCTTTTTTTAATATAACTGGTCATTAAAAATTGACAAATTGAATCTATTGATTTCATTCTATCAGCGGAAGTTTGAAATCTTATTCAATTATAACTGTATCTAGTAAAAATTTTTCAAGTGGTTCCTTGGTCGAGCCCCTCTAGCGATTGAAAGGGTAAAACGATAATGGATGTGTCTTGAGTTCGATGCAGGCCAAGCGATTTTTAATAAAAAAAAAATAAATGGTGTATAGCGGTTTGCAAAAATAATAAACAAATTATTAATAATATAAAATAGTGAGTGGTATAGAGAAAGTAAAAGTTGAAAAGTCTTTTGGTAGGTAGAGAGGGGGTAAACGTCAAACCACGTCGGGCGGCTCCGAGAATTTCACAGTAATGTTTACCTGCCAGTGTCGTTTCATAGAATAAGTAATTTTAAATTTTTATCGGCGGAACCGGACAATCGCATGTATTTATGGATTATAAATAATTATTAAACATGTATTATAATATTCAAATTATAATTTTACAAAATTTCAACAGCTATTCACAATTTATTAAACTATTTACTCGAAATTGTTATTAACATCTATAAAATAATTTTGTACGCCAATGTATCGTGTCCACTTCGGTGAGATCCGCTGACAACCTGTCAAGTTATGTGTATAAAGTGGGAGAACTGGCAAAAGCATTTCCAACTTTTACTTCTGTTCTAAGTTGCGGTTCTGTAAAAAAAGTGGGGATGTGGTCTCAATGGAAATATATTCCTGGACGTTTTTTGAATGTTCAGTATTCGACTTTCAAATATATTCCAGAATTGAACGTCCTCTGAATGGTCAAAAGTGTGCCATTTGTATACTTCACTGGACGTCTATTGGATGTCGGAAGTCCAGAAAAAACTCATTCTTGGACGTCTAGACATCCAAAATTGTATATCGAATGGACGTCCAATGGACATATTTGTATTGTCTGGGTGATAGCCAGGCCAGGTATTTAACTCTAAATACATAAACCTTAAATTACATCTGGCTTAACTTGGCGAGAAAACACTTGTTTATACAGAAATGAGTGATAAACTTGAAAGTCCTTTTAATATAATTCAGAAATTCTAAAAATATGTAAGTACTTTTTAAACCTAAAAGTTTTTGAAAATATAAGCACATTGCAAATATTTAGTTAAATATCTCAAACTTAATGTCTTTTTAATTGTTACCTAAATTTTTTTTGGCACCCTTAATTTTTACTTGAGGAAAAGGTAATTTAATTTAAATATGGGGCTTTTATTACATTTTTAACAATAAATAAACCAAATATCGAACAAATTTTATAGATAAATTATAAAATAATGAACGTCTTTTACTTTTATAATAAATAATTAATTATTATATAATGAATTATATTTTGGTGCCGAAATTTCACCATTGCTATTAACCCTAACTACTTCAATGTAATTAAATCACATTACAACATTTGCGCATGGACTATAACAATGATTTCAGATAATTTTCCAAACTATTTCGCTCAGTGTAGAAAATAAGCATGTTTTCTCAGCGTGCTAAGTTGTGTATCAATCAAAGTCATGCTGTGAAAAAGGTACATCCGATATCAAAGGCACCGACAGCTACTGTCGCTTCTCCTTGATCGTTATTCTCGGGTCACACTTCGTTGACCCCCTCCCCCTCTAACGTGTGACGTAATTTATGGATGACCCCTTAATAGTTTCGTGGCAGTCGTAAATTCAATTCCCCAGTTTCAGCTTTTTTTATTTATTAAAAAAAAAAGATGTATAGTGAGTTGCTGTATAATCGAATACTAATGGTATATGGTGAGTTGTGAAATGACAGATTACTTAGAATATCATGTGATAGCATTGATCAAGCGACTGATGATAAATGACAGTATCAATATAGCGACCTTTTCCTTTGCATAGGAAGTGTAGCAGTGAGCTACAAATTGTATGAATGGAACGATATTCTCAGAAGTGACGTAGCTCAGTGCTACACTTTCGATGAAAAGGAAAAGATCTAATACGAACTAGCTACAGATATGACAGATGACAAATGACAGGTGACGCCATCTAGCTATATAAATGACAGGACAGTTTAAAAGATTTTGAAAAGTTACAAAATTCATTGACAGTGTTGCTAACATACAAACCTGGATAAAAAAGCAGAATTACCAACCAACAAAAAAGTTATTACATTTTGCAAGGTTACTAATAAATCTAGTGACAAAATTGTTTCAGTGATTCATAGAATTATGGCCACCCTGTAAAGTTTAAGCTCAATATTTTAAATTCAGGTTTTCACAGACATACTGAGAAAAAAATATTCCTCTAAAAAAAGTTTGGGGTCAAAGGGGTGTTGACACCCTCTGAAAACGTCCTAGCATCATGACTGAAAACCCATGAAAAATGAAAATAAATGAATGCAGCTACTGCGTATTTATTGAATATTTTATATTAGTATCCCAAATAAATTTTCAAAAATTAATGTTAAACGGTTTCAGAGCAACGTTAAAAAATGAATTAAATTTTTAAATTAAACAAGTTGCAACTTTTGTTTATTTGCACTTTTTTACGTAAGTAAAGTTCAATTGACTTATTTTTGACCCCAGAATATGTTGCATAATTTATGACCAATCTGGTCTGGTTGCACAAACAACTATTATTATAAAACAACACAAATACCTATAAGTAAAAAAAGTTGTATTTACCTCTTATAGCCAATTTAGGAGATTCATAAAAATCTAGAATGGATCGAGTGACTGGCCTAAATACGGGCTTAAATCCAGCTGGTATTTGTGAAGAATAATGTTCGAAAAAATTCTTTGAAGTTGGATAGATGATTTCTTGATGGTAGTTTGCAAAAGTCTCGCTACTTATTGGCAGAGCTGAGGGTAATGCACATACGATGGCAACGAAGAGTAGTAGCAAAAGAGTATTCATCTGAAATATAAAAACGTATAAAACAATAAGATTGTATACAGGGTGTCCCGAAATTAGACGGTCACATTTTAACAGCGTAATCTAACCTAAAGTAGGAGTAAAAGTTCATATAAACATAGGTCCGTAAACGTTTCGTTTTCGAGATACAGGGTGTTACAAGTGAAGTCCTGATGGCACATTTTTGTAAATATTTTCACCGATTTTTCAAAATTAAATTTTTGATTCCAGTGGCCTACTAATTATTGTTTTCACTTTCAAATAAAATAACATCAACTTATCATGAAATTTTCAAATTCTTTTCTCTTGAAAATAGTGCGTCCTAGCGAGATGCAACAGAAGTAGCCTTATTATAAAAAAACATTGGTTTTTCAAATGTTATAGTCAAAAATGTTAAAAACTGTCAAAAAAACTTAGGGCAATTTTACCCTAAGTCCCCCCTAATTCACCCACCTATAAAGATTACCAAAAACTGGGGTTTAGTCCATTAAAAAGAGCGTAAAAAGGTAAGCATTTGTACCAAATTTCACTTAGTTATCTTTAAACGTTTAGAAAATATTTAGAAGAGTGTGTCATCAGGACTTCATTTTTAACATCCTGTATCTCGGAAAAGAAACGTTTTCGGACCTATGTTTATATAAACTTTAACTTCTATTTTAGGATGTATAGATTAAGCTGTTAAAATATGACCGTCTAATTTCGGACACCCTGTATTTACCTTTAAACATTTCTATTGTAAATATAAGAGGTTTACCGTAAAAATAAATACAAAATCTTATTATTCAAGTTATCTCTGGACTATATACCCTTTTTGTAATGGAATAATGTATGACCCTGTATGATTTTTGTTTACCATATCTGTACCATTTCTGTATTATTTTTGTACTATTTTTGTACTATTTCGGTACTATTTCTGTACTATTTCTGTACTATTTCTGTACTATTTCTGTACTATTTCTGTACTATTTCTGTACTATTTCTGTACTATTTCTGTACTATTTCTGTACTATTTCTGTACTATTTCTGTACTATTTCTGTACCATTTCTGTACCATTTCTGTACTATTTATGTACTATTTCTGTACTATTTCTGTACTATTTCTGTACCATTTCTGTACTATTTCTGTACTATTTCTGTACTATTTCTGTACTATTTCTGTACTATTTCTGTACTATTTCTGTACTATTTCTGTACTATTTCTGTACTATTTCTGTACTATTTCTGTACTATTTCTGTACTATTTCTGTACTATTTCTGTACTATTTCTGTACTATTTCTGTACTATTTCTGTACTATTTCTGTACTATTTCTGTACTATTTCTGTACTATTTCTGTACTATTTCTGTACTATTTCTGTACTATTTCTGTACTATTTCTGTACTATTTCTGTACTATTTCTGTACTATTTCTGTACTATTTCTGTACTATTTCTGTACTATTTCTGTACTATTTCTGTACTATTTCTGTACTATTTCTGTACTATTTCTGTACTATTTCTGTACTATTTCTGTACTATTTCTGTACTATTTCTGTACTATTTCTGTACTATTTCTGTACTATTTCTGTACTATTTCTGTACTATTTCTGTACTATTTCTGTACTATTTCTGTACTATTTCTGTACTATTTCTGTACTATTTCTGTACTATTTCTGTACTATTTCTGTACTATTTCTGTACTATTTCTGTACTATTTCTGTACTATTTCTGTACTATTTCTGTACTATTTCTGTACTATTTCTGTACTATTTCTGTACTATTTCTGTACTATTTCTGTACTATTTCTGTACTATTTCTGTACTATTTCTGTACTATTTCTGTACTATTTCTGTACTATTTCTGTACTATTTCTGTACTATTTCTGTACTATTTCTGTACTATTTCTGTACTATTTCTGTACTATTTCTGTACTATTTCTGTACTATTTCTGTACTATTTCTGTACTATTTCTGTACTATTTCTGTACTATTTCTGTACTATTTCTGTACTATTTCTGTACTATTTCTGTACTATTTCTGTACTATTTCTGTACTATTTCTGTACTATTTCTGTACTATTTCTGTACTATTTCTGTACTATTTCTGTACTATTTCTGTACTATTTCTGTACTATTTCTGTACTATTTCTGTACTATTTCTGTACTATTTCTGTACTATTTTTGTACTATTTATGTGCCGATTATGTGCTATTTCTGTACTATTTCACTACTATTTCCGTACTATTTATGAGCTATTTATGTGTTATTTCCGTACTACTTCAGTACTATTTCCGTACTATTTCCGTACTATTTTCGTACTATTTCCGTACTATTTCCGTACTATTTCCGTACTATTTCCGTACTATTTCAGTACTATTTCCGTACTATTTAATTACTATTTGCGAATTTTCTGTACTATTTGCGCACTTTTTATACTGCTTGTGCACCTTCTGTACTATTTGTGCACTTTATGTACTATTTGCGCATTTTCTGTAATATTTGCTTACTATTTCTGTTCTTGGGACACAATGTATACTAGTGTACAAAAATTTTCCAGCGGTTTACCCTCCGTTTGGTCATCTTATAAGCTCAACTGAGATCACTCTGTAAGTATGATTTTTTTAGAATGTCTTCAAATATTAGAACGGTACAATATATTCCTAATAATATTTACTTTACGCTATTTCTCTTATTTGTGAATATCTGAATATTTTTTTAATAATCAAAGATAATACCACAAGCTCTCCAAATTTTATCGATAAAATTTTTAGTTTTCACAGAAAATTCTTTATTTGGAAAAACCACGAATACTAACTGATTTTATCTTAAATCGGTTTGTTTGAGCGGTTTTGCCTGAAATAAAGTCGTTTGAGAAACTTAAAATTTAATAGATCAAATTTGAAATACGAGCGGTATTTGAAAAGATTATTTTTTAAATAATTTTGTATGAAAAACATATTTTGAGTAGGTAATAATCTAAAAGTGTTTATTAAAGGTTCTATAAATTTGTTTATTTTATATTAATATAAAATGATATGGCAACGACGCATTAAATCAACAGGGGTGCTGTGAGGAGTTTTCGCGGCATTTTAAAAGCCAGTTTTCTGCTTGTATCGTCGTCGATATATAAAATAGAATATTCAAATTTACAATAAAAATTTGTTCCATGTTCAATGTTGTTATCAGATCCATATCTGGATAAGCCACTGCTACTTTATATAACTATTATTTTATAGAACTTTTAGTCCAATGTGTCAAAACCTACTTATTTTAATTTTCAAATTGTAAAATTGTAGAGCATTTTTATAGACACTTTTTTTTCACTGATTTTTTTTTGTTTTTTACTTTCCTATCTGTATATCTGTAAGTGTATCTGAAAGTATAGGAATCATGATTTTTTTCGACCTCCAGTTTTTGACGGATTTTTACGTTTTGGGGTCCCCTGAATCCGTTTTGACTATTTTCGGAATGATGTATGTGTGTGTCTGTGTGTCAGTGTGTGTGTCTGTATCCACCATAACTCATAAACCGACGCAAAGAAAAACACCAAATTTTAAACTTAAGCTTTATTTCAGCCTGCGGTGAACTGATTAGATTTTGATCAGAGTCGGAACATTTGGGGGTACTTTATTGGTGGTCATTTTTATATTTTATGAAATATATTCGTTCTTCAAATAAAAGTTACTTATAATATTATTATCTATAATTTTTGTTTTATACAGAATTTTCCTAAAATGGCCCGTATTCGAGAAATTTAACAAAATGTAAAAAAATTATTTTTTTTCTAAAAATTGTTCAAATAAAAGTTGTTTGTAATATAATTCTCTATAATTTTTATTCCATACATAATTTCTCTAAAATGGACCGTATTCGAGATATTTGAGAAAATGTGTAAATTTCGAATTTTGAAGAAAACTAAAAAACGGATAAAGGAAAAAACATTAAATTTTTAACTTAAGTTTTATTTCGGCCTGAGGTGAAATTATTAGATTTTGGACAAAGGCGGAACATTTGGGGGGGTACTTTATGGGAGGCCGTTTTTATATTTTATGGAATATATCTGGTATTTATGTTTGGAGAAGAAAATTGTTCAGATGAAAATTACTTACAATAGTATTATCTATAATTTTGGTTCTATACAATTTTTTTTTAAATGATTCGTATTCGAGAAATTTGACAAAATTTAATAAAATTCAAATTTTTAGGAAAATTGTTTAAATAAAAGTTATTTGTGATATCGATCTCTATAATTTTTGTTTTTTATACGATTTTTCTAAAATGGACCGTATTGAAGGAAAAGTGCTAAATTTAAATTTTTCAGTATTTTCGTTTTCAATGAATATCTATAGAAAAATGTTTCGAGTTAGATGTATGTGGAAAATGTATATATTTAGTTTATCCTCTAAACATTTATAGAGGTGCTGCAATAGGTTGTACAAAATAATCGGAAAAAGCCTATAATAACTAGATAGGAAAGTCATGTGTTGGACACATCAGATTTTTAAGCGTATGTCTGTAACTTATGCACAACATATTTTGATGCTTTTTTGTATAAATCTTTACTTTTATGTTCTAAATTATTTTTGGTTTTTGTATATTTTCCCGTCATCCTGTAATTGGCGTAATAATAATATGCACCACCAATAAAACTTTTTGCACCCACTCCCTTAAATAAAGCAACTTTTTGAAGTCAGATGCGGGATTATACAAGAGGTTTAAATCGAGTGAATCGGTTTGGGATTATATGTTTATTTATTGTCTTTTATATATTTTTGTATTGTGACAGGTGGCTACAAAACAGTCACTGAAGTGACAGGACAAATACTTCTTTATGTTTTTTTACTTTTATCTCAAAATTTTGACTTTATTTTTCGAAAATTTACTCACTGCTGCTCTATATGTTTCTAAAAAAAATGTAGGTATACTATGACACAGATTAAGTTGTCAAAATGAAATATAATGCGACCTCCGAGGATTGTAGTTCTTTCTTTTGTTCTATTTCTTTTTTAGGATGTAAACAAACACGGAAATTTAATACGCATTAAATTTTAATTGAGGTGTTGTTAATTTTCTTACAACACACTTGCGTACTACGGTATGCATTAATAATTACATCTATTATTATGTATCTGGGTATTAAAAATGTTTTGCCTTCGAATTTCATAAAGACAGATGAAGAAACGGTATAACAAATGTTCTCACGTGCTGAACTTTTTTCTACATAATCATAATAGCAAATGATTGATCGATATTGTTAAATACAAATCAGTAGATGAGAATGGAATGATTATTGATATGTATACCGGGTGATAATGAGATTATGTTAATATCTATCTCCTTTATTTATGAAGCGATTTGGATCAAATTTGGAACCAACATACTAGACCTAATTTTGAATTGAAATGATTTGATTTGGAACGAAAGACCGAAAGCCGATAGTAGTAGGGGAAGGTTGCCTAAAATGGGATACTTAAGGTTTCAAAAATTATAAAAGCAAAAGTTTTCATATTTAGTGGTTCATATTTTGACATAATTAAAAACGACGTGTTTGGAATTTTATAATTTAAGCTGATAATTAAAAATAATGGTATTATTTTGCACACAAAAAAATGGTGTTAATTTCCCATTTTACCCGCATAGTGCGGGTAAAATAGGAACTATGGTTGAGGTAAAATGGGATAAAAAAATTAATGTTAAAAATGGTGAAAAATGTTTTAATACATAAAGTAGGTAAATCAAAAGTAATTTGTGTGATGTAATAAGAGCAAATTTTAAAATGTCAGTTGCGACATAAATCGCAAATAAAGAAATCTTCATTATCTTCGACTCCTGCACAGGTATCCTGTGCCCAATTCTTACAACTAAGACATTGTATCCATCCTTTGCCACGTCCATCTTTTGAATACCTGTTGTTGCAGTAAAAGCATTCCGCATCATCATCGCTTTCTGATGATTCAATGCTCTTTTTTTGTAATTTTTTCGTTTTGATTAAAGGATTTTTAGATTTTTCTTCATTCAGTAAGTTGATGTTTGTTTTTAAAGCTATCTTCTTAACATTAACTTTTTTATTTCTTTCCTTTAAAGAGTTTTCTAATTCTTCCTTATAAGGGGTGCTCGCAAGAATGGTAGCTTTTCCTTTTTTCTATTTGTAGTTTTTTGAATATCAAGCTTACGAACTTTGGGATAAGGAGCAATTTGTTCAGGACTTATCAAAGTTATACCTTTGCTCGTGGATGGCATATCATGTAAAGCACTTCTTTTGGCAACCTCGGAACATTTCTTTGAAAGAGCCATTATTTGTTTAGGTAGAGATTCTCTATTAGGGTCATTTTCGGGTGTAGCTTCTCTATTAGTTTCAATTTCGCGTGTACCTTCCGAATTAGCGTTATGTTCGGGTGGATCATCTTCGGAATCGGATGAAGATGGTACATCATCCTGTTCTTGTGGTTTGTCTGTTGGAAGTGTTGCAATAAACATATCCTCGGTAAATACAGTGCGGTTTACTGGGTACAGTCCAATTTTTTCAAATCCCTTAATAGCAGTTATCGGAGTAGTAGCACGAAGATATGCTCTGCCAAATAAAGAAGGAACTTCGCTTACAGTGATGCATCGCCTTGGGTGATTTCTAAGCCAAATCTCCATTTCTTGTGAATAAAAGGTGCTTAGAGGGGCCATAAATGACACGTCCAAAGGCTGAAGTCGATGACTGGTGTGGTGGGAGACATAAAATTGTGACACCATTTTCTCTTGCTTTATCTATGATAGAAATATTTTGCGTATGAGTTTTATGACAATCGAGAATAAGTAATGCTGGATTACTTCTTGATGCTGGGATGTGAGAGAGAAAATGATTAAACCATTTATCAAATAGATCCAATTGCATCCAACCAGATTTATGAGTAACTGTTAATGTTCCTGGAGGAACACCTTTCAAGAAACTGTGGCTTCATACGAACTCTAGGAATGATTAACATAGGCGGGACAAATATTCTACTTGCACTTATGCAAATTACGGCTGTAGACAGCTCCTCACTTTCGGCAGACGTCAGGGTATCCACTTGTTTCTGACCTCGGAGTGCAATAACTTTTGAAGGACGACCCTGAACCGTCGTTATACCTGTTTCATCCACATTGAAGACCCTGGCCGGAGGAAAGTTATTTTTTTCTTGAAGAGGCTCAAGAATATTGAAAAATGATGACACTGCTTCTTTGTAACCCCTAGCTCGTGCATCAGAGGTAGCTTTATGTAATCGAATTGACAGATTGTGTCGTTTTAAAAAAGAATGAAGCCAATGCCATCCAGCCATTTGTTTTGTGTTATTAAAGTAGTGAACAATATTATTTTTTATAGCAAGCTGATAAGCAAGGCTTGTTAGACCTCTTGTTGTTAATCCAAACAGCATACCTTCCATGTTCTTAACATACTCGACTACTAATTGTTGTCCCAATTCAATTGGAAATGTAGCCTTTCTACTTCCAAGCGATTTAGAAGAACCAGTGGCATGTTTGTTCTTCTCCTTAAATCTCCTCTCTAAAGTAGATTTTGACACTCCATACTTTTTTGCAGCTCTTAAATACCCACAATTGCCGTTTCCTAAGGCAATTGCGAGTTAAAATGTGATTTTTCGTAATTTTAATATAATAATTCGCCTACATTTAAGTCGCTGTAAGTACATTAGTATAAATAGTTATCTACTTAGGCTATATATACTTCGAAAGTACGTTTTATGAGGGACAATTTGATATTATACAATTAAATTATTCTCAAATTGTCAACCAAATATGGCATTTAACCCGCCATATTGTCCGATCGAGGCAATGCCGCCTTTTACTGATGGGAAACATCGCCACATGGCGATATTGCTCTATCAAAATATTTTGTTAAAAGTTCATATTACATTTTGTGGATTATTTTCAGATGGTGCGATCATGGATTCGAACTACGGGAATAGCTCAATGGACAAGAAAAACTGAAAAAAGCTATTGAAGCAGTTCAATCGTGTTCAACATTCCTCAAACAACTTTGTGTGACAGAATAAAATCTGGTAATTTGACCAAACCTTCATTAGGTCGTAAACCTGTATTTTCTCCTGAACAAGAGAAACAAATAGCGGATCATGTGGTATTGTTAGCAAGAATGTTTTATGGAATTTTCGCAACTGAATTAAGACGGTTAGCTTTCGATGTCGCTGAAAAAACAACGTGAAGCATGGTTTTAATAGAGAAAGAAAAATGGCTGGATCAGATTGGTTAAGGTGCTTCCTTAAAAGACATAAAATTAGTTTTAGAAAACCCGAGGCGACTAGCTTTAGCAGGGCAATGGCTTCTAATAAGGACGAAGTTGACATTTTCTATAAAAATCTTAGTACAGTTTTGACTAAGTATAAATTTTCTGCGAACAGAATATACAATATGGATGAGACAGGAATTTCATCGGTTCAAAAGCCAGAAAAAATTCTAGCTCCTCGAGGCCAGAAACAGATTGGGGGAATAACAAGCTGGGAAAGAGGAAAAAATATAACAGTTATCTGTGCAATGAGTGCTGCAGGTAATTACATACCACCGACATTTATTTTCCCCAGAAAACGAATGACACCTCTTTTAGAAAAAGATGGACCTGCCGGAGCAATTTATAAATGCTCGCACAATGGTTGGTGAAACGAAGAAATTTTTTTTCAGTGGCTTCAACATTTTAAAAATGTTGCCAAATCTACAGAGGACTACCCATTGTTGTTGGTGTTGGCTAACCACGGAACCCACATTACTTTAGACAGTTACACATTTTGTAAGGAAAACAACATTCATGTTATATCAATACCACCCTTGGACATGTCATTTTATAGTTTTTTAAAAAATGCTTTTAACAAGGGTTGTGAATATTTTATGAAAACTCATATCTACCGGGAATTTATCCTTTTCAGCCAAATAAATTCATCGAAGACGATTTTGAACCAGCTCACGCTATTGATCAACCAATAGTTATTGAGGATCAACATGTGCAGGATGAAGATGTTCCACCATTAGCAGTGTCTGGACCTTCTAAAATATGCATAGATCCTCATATCAATCTACAGCCATCTACATCAGCTTTCCAGTTCAGCATAGTAGAATTGTCATCACGGCCATTAATCGAAATAGATCGCTCTAAAACTAACAAGAATAATTCTCGCAAACAACACTCGTTTATCATGACAGCTACTCCCATGAAGTGAATTCTTGAGGAAGCCACAGTAAAAAGAGAGCAAAATGAAAAAAAAGAAAGTTGAATCAAACAACCAAAAGATAGTTGAAGAAAAGAAGAAGAAAGAAGCAAAAATAAAACAGAAAGAAAAAGTGCGAGTGTAGATAAAAGGAAAGCAACCACTGTTAAAAAAACAGCTTAACAAATTCATTTTGATTCTTCTTCTGAAGAAATTGATGAAAATATCATGTGTGATGATAATAAAGATGACGATGCAATTGATCCGTTTGCAGCTGATATTGAACTGTGCATTATTTGTGGGGAATTCGGTGGAAATTAACTTTGGTATCTTTGTATTCGATGCTCAAAGTGGGCTCATTCAGAGTGTAGTGGTTATGACACTGCTTAAAATTATATTTGCGAATTTTGTTGTTAGTTATTATATTATTATATTCAACATACTTACCCACTGTATTTTAATATTTTAATAAACAACTCTTTTTGCTCATTTGTATAATGTTTTTAAAAATATAAAATTTTCTTAATTAGCAATTTTTAAAATGCTTTACATATTATGGCGATATTACCCCCAGGCTATGGCGAAAATACTCCAGTACCAGGGGCAAATCCGCCACTTTGCAAACTAGTACAGTGACAGATATCATTATTAGAAATTTTTTAATAATACAGTTGTCTAGGTAAATGATATAGTAATGCAATGTAACGCTAAAGGATTCAGTGTTATTCGAAGACACATAGTCAGACGAGCCCAGGAGAAAAAAAAACGGTAAAATGTAGATATTTACTATACCACTAAGCATCAGATAAGTTATTTACTTAAGGTGGCGCCATTACCCCACCTTCCCCTATGTAAAAAGTGACACACGGTATAAATCATTCAAAGGTAATACATACATTATTATTTTATAAATTTTTCAAAGACTTGCCTGAAATATCATAAAAAAACTATCAAATCATTAGGCAAAATGCTTAAAACAAGTTAAAAATGAGCATTATGGGTGAAAAAATGTGGTCGAAGTGGCAAAGGTTTTCGATCGATGGATGATGTTACTAAAGATACTTATATTTGTTCACTACATTTTCATGGAGAAAGTGGTTCAACAGAAGAAAATCAATATTTTTTTAATATTAAATACTTCTTCTGTATACACAGTAATATTATTAAAAATGTCATGTTAATCCTTAAAATATTAAATAATTTCTTATTAATTATACTAGTGATTAACTTTCATTTTAAAGTGTTTTTGCAATTACTAATAGTTGGTTGGCATAATTAATTAGAATAGAGTTATAATTATTATTTGTTTTCATTAATTTTTTACACAGTTAACAAGTATTGAAACCTAACCTCTCAATTAGCACACTTTTTTCCATGTTCTGAACGTCCACGACACTTCAAGCACCTTTTCAATTGCTCACAACAATGTGCTTCTACAGAGTTATAAAAATATAAATCACCATCAACGGTTTTTTCTAATGATTGATTTGTATGTAGAGATAATATTGCTTTTCCAGCCATTGTTAATCAAAACAGTACAAAACTTTTGAATTGGCGCTATTTCAATATGGCGGCTGCGCTTGCGCTCATCACATGACGAAAAAGCCTATTACTTAGGTTAAACCACGTGATAATTGTTACAAGCCTTGATTTGATATTTATATTTTGTGGATAGTTCTGTAAAATACACCATTCCTAATATAATTCTGTTTTTTCCTTTGATTAATTTATGGGAGATTCATTCGCCGCCACATACAATTTTTTTGCTTTTCTCACAATACATTCCGTGACGCAATTTCAGCAGATTTTTTACATCTGGTGGAGTTTGACATTTTAATTCGAGTTGACTTTTAGATGACAGCCGCCACCTACTTAAGTGTCTAAAAATTGCAATCGGTAAATCAATGCTTAAAATAAGCCCCATAAGAAATAGATGGGATTTTAGGAAAATTGATGTTAAAGTAGTTAGGTTAAACTGAAAATTTTGAAAAATCTCTAGGGTTCCAAGATAGAAGCAATTATTCAAGAAAATCAAACCGCACGTCAATTGGATCTTTCTGACGAGACGACCAGACGAATTTTTTTTACATTTTCGTACTCGGGAAACGTGGATAAAAGTCCAAAAAAGAGGGTAAGAAAATTTGTTCGTTTGCACGAATGCAACACTGAGGCATCGGAAGGGCCTCAGTAATTTATATTTATACTTAAAAAAGGACAACTTCCGATTTTACAAAAAATGCAATTAAATTTAATTTTTTAATGGGTCTATTTGGTATATTTAATATTTTTTGGAATCTACAGTTTAAATTACACACCTATGAGAGTGTTGCCAAATTAAAAAAAATATTCAGAAAAATTCTGGTTGATATAGGAGGCCATGAACTGGAAAAAATAATGTTCTTCTATTGCCTCGAATAACTCGAACCGAAAGTTAAAAATAAA